GGTGCGAATTTAAAGTGTCACCTCCCGTTTGCATTGACGGTGCAAAATTGGGCCATGGATTTGGGCTAGAAACTAGAAATACTGTATTAAGATGAATATTGCGACTAAAATTAGGTATGTTGATGAACTGTTGTTGACTGAGATAGGGGATAACAGTGAAAAAAGACTATGAACTCAATGCATTGCTCAAGACAGTTGTTAATTATCTCTATGCACAAGTTTATAAAAAGGAATTGAATTTCAACCATGTGTATTAAGTCAATCTTAATGGATTCTTGGATTTCCAAATAATATATTATAACCAAAACCGATCGATAGAATTGACTTACAAGAGAAGGGTGTCCACTTTACCGATATTGACCAAACAGTAATCTTTTTCAAATTACCCCTTCCCCTTCCGTAACTCAACCACATAGATACATAATACTAAGTCATCTTAATCCAGCATATAGATCACCTCTTCCTTGACTCAACCACATAGAACCATAACTCACACTATGTTCGATCCTATACTCGATATGGTAGCTGACTTTGATATCAATTAATAAGAACTCATGGATAGAATTTGTCCCTGAACATTAGCTTGCAAGGAAAGAATGTTCNATATTATTTCTAAATTTAGCACATAACACTTAGAATTGCGACAGCAAGCCCAGTAGTCAGCAAGCTAGGACCAACCAAGTTGGCTGCCTTTAGGCCCATGATAACAGCACACAATGCGTAAACTCAAAAAGATCTAATAATTGAGCTAAGCTATTCGTGCTCAGTTCGATCATGACTCAATTCGAGTTTGACTTGTGTTAAATAATTTTTTTAAATGAGTTTAAAAAATTTGATTCGAACTCGCAAAGTTAAGTTACTTTATATGTAAAATAGTCAAATTATTCAGGGTTGGCTCAAATTCGGCTCATTTTAAGCTCAACTCATTTTCTAAATAATATGAATTTTAGAATTTTTTTAGGTTCGTAAAACTCGACTCAAACTGGTAAATCTGAATTAACAGTCCTTTAACTCAATACACGATAAGAACCCATTTGCATTGACGGTGCGAATTTAAAGTGTCACCTCCCGTTTGCATTGACGGTGCAAAATTGGGCCATGGATTTGGGCTAGAAACTAGAAATACTGTATTAAGATGAATATTGCGACTAAAATTAGGTATGTTGATGAACTGTTGTTGACTGAGATAGGGGATAACAGTGAAAAAAGACTATGAACTCAATGCATTGCTCAAGACAGTTGTTAATTATCTCTATGCACAAGTTTATAAAAAGGAATTGAATTTCAACCATGTGTATTAAGTCAATCTTAATGGATTCTTGGATTTCCAAATAATATATTATAACCAAAACCGATCGATAGAATTGACTTACAAGAGAAGGGTGTCCACTTTACCGATATTGACCAAACAGTAATCTTTTTCAAATTACCCCTTCCCCTTCCGTAACTCAACCACATAGATACATAATACTAAGTCATCTTAATCCAGCATATAGATCACCTCTTCCTTGACTCAACCACATAGAACCATAACTCACACTATGTTCGATCCTATACTCGATATGGTAGCTGACTTTGATATCAATTAATAAGAACTCATGGATAGAATTTGTCCCTGAACATTAGCTTGCAAGGAAAGAATGTTCAAGAGTTTATATATACACATCTAATTTTATTTTTAACTTATGCAGAATCGTAACATATTATTATAATCAAGAGAGATTAATTTTCAAGAATGTAAATGGTATCAATCATGTATACAAAAAAATAAAATTTTCTACAATTAAAATGAGAATCCAAAGTTGGGCCTTGGATTCATCTACAAGACTTTGGCATTTCTTTGCTTCATTACAAAGGCTTCATGATCACTACTTGCACTCTTAACTTGATCATTCCATTGCTTCTCTCTTCTGTTTTTTTTTTCCATTTTCGTATAGATGAACTTGATCATATTCGTTCATGTTGTTACCCCACCACTGTCCTCTTTGGAGTCACAAGTACGTTTGCCATGGGCCCTTCTTATGGGCCAAACTATCCCATAAGCCAATCCAATATTAGAACCTAAGTCTAATATTAAATTTAAATTGAATTCGAATTGAATCGTGTACGACCTAAGTCTATCTTGAGTGCAAGTAACTCATGCACGATAAAAAGCCACACACACACGCACACACAGTCACTTGTCAAATTCCCTCTGCGTCTGTTCTCGTGAGTAGCCGCCTCGTTTTAACCGAATATAATAATCTAAATATTCAAAATTAGGGCTTTCTCAAATTTCAAAATTCAATTTCCCACTTAAATTTAACGTCTCCGTCATATATCTCTGTTATCTCCTTCCCATCCTTTTCACAGAGAACAAACTCCGTTAACCCATCCCCATAAAACCCCACCTCTCTCCTCCATTTCCCCCAAACCACTACCCTTCTCTCTCTGTCTCTCTCTACCTTTCATCATGCGTGAGATCTTGCACATTCAAGGAGGCCAATGCGGCAACCAGATCGGAGCAAAGTTCTGGGAAGTCGTGTGCGCCGAGCACGGCATCGACTCCACCGGACGATACCAAGGCGACACCGATCTTCAACTGGAGCGCGTGAATGTCTACTACAATGAGGCCAGCTGTGGAAGGTTTGTTCCACGCGCTGTGCTTATGGACCTCGAGCCTGGTACTATGGACAGCCTCAGATCTGGACCGTACGGACAGATATTCCGGCCAGATAACTTCGTTTTTGGACAGTCCGGCGCCGGGAATAATTGGGCCAAGGGGCACTATACTGAGGGAGCGGAGCTCATTGACTCGGTGCTTGATGTCGTCAGAAAAGAGGCTGAGAACTGTGACTGTCTTCAAGGTATTTTATTTTTGGAATTGTTTATTTCGCTGAATCTGTGTCTGGTAGTGTGTTATACTGTACTAGAACTGTAGAGTTTGAATAGTGTTTGTCTGGTGATAGTTGTACTCATGAGCGTTTTTTCTGTGTCGATCTGTATGATTATTACGAACTCTCCTTAGCATGTATTCTACTATGGGGTTTTGGATTATTTGTTATCTTGGTTCATTATTATCCTTCATATTTGGTCTTAGATTTTGCGATTTAGAGTATTAGTGTTCAGGATTAACTGCTCTGTTGAGCTCAGTAATTTCCTATTTGTTTTTGTATTATCTCCACTAATATAATTTTATGAATTTGTTTGTTGTTCATTTCTCATTTTGTCTGAGATTTTGAGGAATGAAGATACTCAGTGCAATGTTCATTGTCTTTGTTCCTTCATTTTCTCAGCGGTCATTTGGAGATGAGGTTATGGATTGAGATGTTATTTTCCATAGTTACTGTTATATACCGTCTCCTTATGAATCTGCCTTGTGCATTTGATTCATTTCTTATTTGAAAACCAAACCTTGAGCTGTTTGTTTTTTTGTATCAGGTTTTCAGGTTTGTCATTCCTTGGGTGGTGGCACTGGCTCAGGCATGGGAACACTTCTTATTTCCAAGATTAGAGAAGAGTATCCTGACAGAATGATGCTCACCTTCTCTGTATTCCCATCCCCTAAGGTGTCTGACACAGTTGTTGAACCCTACAATGCTACTCTCTCAGTCCACCAGCTTGTTGAGAATGCAGATGAGTGCATGGTTTTGGACAATGAGGCTCTGTATGACATTTGCTTCCGAACCCTTAAACTCACAACTCCAAGCTGTAAGTTTCTTTTCTTTTCAATAGAACAATCACGAACAGGCCTAAAACATTTGTAATTACTATTGTCTTGATTATGTAATATTCAATTTTCTTGTGGTAAGTTTAAAAATACATGTTATTTGACCAAGGACAAGACATGTTATATATCTACCATGCTAGTGCACATGGTTTATTTCATTGAACTCAGTGCAGTTTGTCATGTATGTTCTTGCTATTCATCTGAAATGTCATGTGAAATATTTGTACATAATATGTGCATTATACATTTGCTATTTCCCTACTTTTTATGGCATAATTGGTAATTGTTTAAGAAAAACTAGGTTGATCTTGAATAATTTGTTTTCTATGGAAGCTTACAGCTGTGTATATGTGGTCTCACATGGTTATTTTTTTTGTAAACTCAATGAATGGAGCTTCTTGGGAGACTTGAAGTCTTTGTGTATATTTGATTTCCTGTCTGGGAATTATGTGAGGCTGTTCAGGGGATATCTTGAAAGTGAGTTGTCTGCACATGTTCAATTGTTGAGGCAGTCTTGGTCCAATATACTTCTAGTTGTCTTATTGTTGAATTTTTGCTTTCTTCTTGAATATTAAATCATTCAATGAGTTCTTAAATATGATATGCTTGCTATTTTGTCACCACATAGTTTTTGGTATTCTTGTGGTACCAAGTCTAATGGAATCTGGGGCATGGGGTTAGTATATTGCTGAGAACTATATTTTGATAACTCTTTCTAACAGAAGTGGACTAAAATTAGATAAAAATGTGACACTTGTTTTTAACCAGTTGGTGACCTGAATCACCTGATTTCTGCCACCATGAGTGGTGTTACTTGCTGCCTGCGCTTCCCTGGCCAACTAAATTCTGATCTCCGCAAGCTTGCTGTCAACCTCATCCCCTTTCCTCGATTGCATTTCTTCATGGTTGGCTTTGCTCCACTCACATCTCGTGGGTCACAGCAATACAGAGCCCTTACTGTCCCTGAGCTCACTCAGCAAATGTGGGATGCAAAGAATATGATGTGTGCTGCGGACCCACGCCATGGCAGATATTTAACTGCTTCAGCTATGTTCCGTGGAAAGATGAGCACCAAGGAAGTGGATGAACAGATGATCAATGTGCAAAACAAGAACTCGTCCTACTTTGTTGAATGGATTCCCAACAATGTGAAGTCAACTGTCTGTGATATCCCTCCTACTGGTTTAAAAATGGCGTCGACTTTCATTGGGAACTCCACCTCAATCCAGGAGATGTTCCGTAGGGTCAGTGAGCAATTCACAGCCATGTTTCGCAGGAAAGCTTTCCTGCATTGGTACACTGGGGAAGGCATGGATGAGATGGAGTTTACAGAGGCTGAGAGCAACATGAATGATTTAGTTTCTGAATACCAGCAATATCAAGATGCAACTGCAGATGAGGAAGGCTATGATTATGAAGATGAAGAGGAAGAAGATCAGGAGGCCTAAGAAGTTCTCGGGTTTGGATTTTACTTTTTCGGTTGCATTTATGTTGCTAGTATTGAATCGGAGTGGAGTTGAAATCCTTTTCTGGTGTTCGGATTTTTACAATTTTGCCACTGCTGTGGCATATCTCTTTTGTTTTGTTGTTATAGATAGTACTGTTTACCAACATGTTCGATTTGAATAGTAATGGATATCATCAGGCTTCTGATAGTTGATTCTAAAAAATGTTAATGATGCTTTGTAATTATTTGATTGATAAACTGCTGATGATTTCATGTGGACAGAGACTCATCCCTGATAACGTTGGGTTAGGTCTTTCAATCCTAATTTTGCCAACTAAAATGAAACTTTTGTTTGGGGGGCAAAAGGGGTTGGGCCCAAGTTGGTTTCAGTCGTTGCTTAGATTGATGGCGTTGGCCAATTTTTCAGTTGCTAATTATATTTTGAATTTTTTTGGTCCATCAATAGTCGAATAGAAACAAACAAAAATGTAGAGAAACACTTCATCCTTTTGAGCCCAAGAGGGGGCCTAAGACGACCCCACTGTTGTTAATCATGCGAGGTGGACAGAAAGCAAAAATGTGCTTTTCTATCCAACGATTAACTACAAATAGGAAGCAATTAGGCACCAAACTTGGGGACTTTAGCGGTTGAGATTTGCGCTAGGAAGTGCTCAGATACAATCCTCCTTTGAATTTTCCCCGTTGCAGTCTTCGGCAGAGAATCGGTGATGAAAACCTTCTTGGGGACCTTGAAAGCTGCTAGGTTCTTCTTGCAGAACCTCAACACCTCTGCTTCATCAAAGTTTAATCCTTCCCTTGGAATAATCGCGCAATTTATCTGTAACAAATGTTTTGAACGTCATTAGCCTTCGAATGACAACAGCCAAACAGAGACAATTCAATCGACAAATATGATGAAAGAAATATTTGACTTTTCTTTGGTTCTTTTCTCTCTTTATTCTTTCTTTTGTTTGTTCCTTGGTGATTTTTTTCATTGGTCAAGAATCAAGAACGTTGACACCCATAATTCCTGGCGCCTTAAAGCAGGAACAGGGCTTTTATGTTACGTTTGGAGTTGATTTTTTTAAGTGCCAAACATAGGTTTGAAAATGTAATGAAAAGTCCTTTTGAAAAGACTTTCCAATCCATTCAAAAAGACTTTTCTAGTGTTTCTGATTTTTTATATAAAATTAACAAAAAATCACATCTATATATAGATTGTGTCTAATAATTCTCAAAATATTAATTTCAAAATTTTTTTTTTATACTGACTAATAATATTTTATAAATATAATAAACAAAAAAATCAAGTCAAAACCGTGAAAAAACTCCTAAAAAGCTAATAAAAATAATTTCAAAAAAGCCATCAAAACAGCATTTTAGGTCAAAATCCGTTATAAAAGTTCATGAAAGAGGCGGCGGCCAAATTGGTGGAGTTATTTTATGTTGTTTGGACAAAACAGCATAAAAAAGACTGGTCCAAACAATTTTCATCTTCAATTACAGACAAAATTGTCACAATTATTAGAGCCATAAAAGTAGGAGCTAGCTTGCTTCTATCACCTACCCAAAAAGCAATGGTGCCCTTGGGATTGTATGGACTAATAATGCTAATCAAACATCTCATGAAGTTCTTAAAACCCAGTCGAAGTGTCAAAATCCATAGTTTATACGTGGATGTCAAATGTTTTGCAACCCATTTTTAAAAAGTGATAACTATGGGAGATGGTGATGGAATTGTTGTATTACCTCTTCGCCATATTTGTCGTCGGGGACTCCAAAAGCAACGGCTTGAGCAATATCTGGGTGAGACAAAAGTACCGCGTCTACCTCAATTGGTGATATCTTCTCCCCTAAAATACAAATACCAAAATGGTTAAGAATAAAATAATACTTCCAACTTGAATATATCACAATTCAAAAATTATTTGAATTCACAATAAATGATCTATACAGGAAAGAAAAGATAATTAAAATTACCTCCACGATTAATAAGCTCCTTGATCCGACCAACAAGATGCAAATAGCCATCGGAGTCCAAATAACCCAGATCTCCGGTGTGGAACCACCCATATTGAAAAGCAGATTTATTGGCCTCGGGATTATTTTTATAACCCTTGGTCACATTTGGGCCCCTAATACACACCTCTCCACTAACATTAGCCTCTTGTTGCTCTCCATTTTCATTCAATATCGCCATCTCCAGACCAACAGGTTTTCCAACCGACCCAGGAATATGCGGGCCATTATCCGGTAACGGGTTTGAAGCCATTTGATGGGTCGCCTCTGTCATTGCATAGGCCTCCAACACCGGTGCTCCAAATGTCTCCTCCAGCCGAGCCATTATGGCTGGCGCAAGCGAAGCACTACAGCTCCGAATGAACCGGAGTATCGGGTAAACGGGTTCGGGTTTGCTGAAGTGGCGATCCAATATTATCTGGTGTATGGTAGGCACGGCTGTGTACCACGTGGCATTGTATTTGTTCATGTCTGGCCAAAATGTCGAAGCAGAGAATCTTCCGGCGGCTGGTAAAGTCACGGCGGCTCCGGCTCCGAAAGAACTCAGTAAACCGGCTAATAATCCATGCACGTGAAAGAGAGGTAACACAAGAACGGTTGAGTCTGACTCAGTGAGTTTATACACCGATTTAATGTTTTGTACGGAGGAAAACAAGTTGAGCTGAGTTAAGGGAACGCCTTTTGGTCGGCTGGTGGTGCCTGAAGTATGAAGGAAGAGAGAGACGTCTGACGGGTCATTGATGATTTTAGAGACCGAGTTAGGATCTGACTCGGACTGAGTCGGGGAGAGAGTGACATCGGAGTCGGCTTGTGATAGAGTGGCTGTGACGTGTGGAATATGGAGCTTCGAAGCCGCGGCTTGAGCCGGCTGGTTTCCTTCTTTATTTGTGAGTAAAAGCTTCGACTCTGAGTCCGTTAAGTAGAACTCGAACTCGTCTGCGGTGTACGCCGAGTTGAGTGGCGCAGCCGTGGCTCGGACTCGGATTACGGCCAAAAACATGATTACAAACTGCAATTGAGTCAAACGAAATCAAATTTAGTAACATGATTACGAACTGTAATTAAATTGAATTAAACAGCAATTAACACTTCGAAGGATCGTACGTAGAACGAAAAGGAAACCTGTTTGGTCATCGAGAAAATGACGACAAATTAGATACCGGTTTGGCTACCGAGAAAACGATGGAAAATCAGATCCATTTTAGGTCTCAATTTCGCATTATTTAACAAATAAGAGAACAATTATCCATGTTAATACAAATGTTTAGCCCAGTAAGGATATTATATTTGATAAAGAACCGAAAAGACGCAGAAGTTCGAAATTTTACGCATTTTCTTGCGTTTTCTCGCTAGCCAAACAATAGTAACAAAGAACTGAATCGAAGACAGAAAAAGAAAAAGGGGAAAAAAAATGAAACCTCGACGGTGTTGGGGAAGGTGAGAGCAACGACGTCGCCTGGTTTAACACCGGCGGCAACAAGGCGAGAAGCGGCCCCTTCAATGAGTTCATGAAGACGAGAGTGTGTGAGATCAAATTTTCCAGAAACTGAAATTGCTCGCCGGGAGGGAAATTCTCCGGCGACTTGTTTTAATAATCCGGTGAGTGTCAAACTTGCCATTGCTAACTCGTACAGAGAAACTGAGAGAAAGAATTGAAATGAAGTATCACAGATTGAATGAAACAAGTGAGTGATGAGAGGATTGATGATATTGAAACCGAAGAATGGGTGGTGGGATATATATATAGAAAACAGAGAGGTGCGGTGCTGGGGGTGATCTAGTTGAGAGGGGGAAGGCTAGACTTGGGGAAGGTGAGCCACGTGGCAAAACATTTGATATTTATTAATTTATGTGAGATTTATTATTTTATTTATTTATATATAATCAATATACTATAAATATTTTTTGCTGCCTCGGGATGTGCACTGCAGTTTCCCCGATTTTCTCTAATTAAATCTACGTGTCATTGCCTACTCGTTTTCGTTCCTGGTGTGCGTTACGAGGTGTTTTCTGGTATACCAGTCGGCCGAATATGGGCAGATTAAATTTGATTTTTACGTACAATTTCGGTCGTCTTTTAAATTATATAAAATCAAAAATGTTTTTTATTTTTTTAATGTAAAGAAATAAAATTAACATTTTAAATTCGGTCGATAATTTCATTAATTTGTTTTGTGTATCTTAAATGTATAAGTTGTATCTATTAAATTTATATTATATTTAATTAGATTCATTATTAAGTAGATTCGTATTAATCAATTTGTTTAATGAGTTTAATAGATTCAATAGAAAATTAAAGATGAATTACACTAACATCCCTTATTTATTAGTAGTATAATTCCAGAGACATGCCCTCAATGTTTGAAATTAAACCAAAACTTCATGTCAAAATATGTCAGTTGGTGGTGTGAATAGAATTTATATTTTTACTAATTGAAAGTTTCAACAAAAATCAAATGCATATCATTTTTCGGATAAATAGGTTGTAACCAAATGTTTATTATTCTTCGGTTAAGTAGGTCTCATTAACTTTTTTAATGAGATTCACTCATCCAATAAATGATATGTATTTAGGTTATAACCTTTTGAATTGCATTTCAATTGTGTAGCACTGTAGACAAATTGAATATTGATGGAAGGGTGGTGCCCGTGTGGTGGGTGGTAGGGGTGAAGCCAAAAATTTATCGTAGTGAGGACAAATTTAAATAATAACATGATAAAAAAAAATTAAACTAGTAACACTATTGAATAATAAACCTACAGATGAGTAAAGTGAATCATACTTAAGTGGTGATTAAACGACATGTCAGAATGATTACTAAAATATATGGGATCTACCTATCCACATGGTATCTTATCATTGGACGATTACACCCTGGAATAATAGTTACACTTACTATTTGTTCCTAGTGGTGATGGGTAAACGGTGACAGTTAGGAATGAGAGAAACGAAAGGAAAAGAAAGAGGAGTGTTTAGATGTTGGTATAAGTTTGTTTTGATGAGAGATAATTGGTGTTTGGATATAAGAATTGATTAAATTGATTTTTGTTAGAGTGTAAAATATGAATTATAAGAGGTTTTTATTGAAGAGAAAGTTTAGGTTTCTGTTAGGAATTCAGATAAGTAGTAGCATTCAGTTTGAATAAGTCCTAGTCTTTAGGGTATTTGTTTGGTGATTCTTGACTTCTTCTAGTTGCACTTATCATGTTGATTAGTTAGCTAGTTTTTCTCATTTTTGTTAAGACTGTAGAGGGCTATTTATAAGCCTAGATTGTTAAATAAGANTAACATCCCTTATTTATTAGTAGTATAATTCCAGAGACATGCCCTCAATGTTTGAAATTAAACCAAAACTTCATGTCAAAATATGTCAGTTGGTGGTGTGAATAGAATTTATATTTTTACTAATTGAAAGTTTCAACAAAAATCAAATGCATATCATTTTTCGGATAAATAGGTTGTAACCAAATGTTTATTATTCTTCGGTTAAGTAGGTCTCATTAACTTTTTTAATGAGATTCACTCATCCAATAAATGATATGTATTTAGGTTATAACCTTTTGAATTGCATTTCAATTGTGTAGCACTGTAGACAAATTGAATATTGATGGAAGGGTGGTGCCCGTGTGGTGGGTGGTAGGGGTGAAGCCAAAAATTTATCGTAGTGAGGACAAATTTAAATAATAACATGATAAAAAAAAATTAAACTAGTAACACTATTGAATAATAAACCTACAGATGAGTAAAGTGAATCATACTTAAGTGGTGATTAAACGACATGTCAGAATGATTACTAAAATATATGGGATCTACCTATCCACATGGTATCTTATCATTGGACGATTACACCCTGGAATAATAGTTACACTTACTATTTGTTCCTAGTGGTGATGGGTAAACGGTGACAGTTAGGAATGAGAGAAACGAAAGGAAAAGAAAGAGGAGTGTTTAGATGTTGGTATAAGTTTGTTTTGATGAGAGATAATTGGTGTTTGGATATAAGAATTGATTAAATTGATTTTTGTTAGAGTGTAAAATATGAATTATAAGAGGTTTTTATTGAAGAGAAAGTTTAGGTTTCTGTTAGGAATTCAGATAAGTAGTAGCATTCAGTTTGAATAAGTCCTAGTCTTTAGGGTATTTGTTTGGTGATTCTTGACTTCTTCTAGTTGCACTTATCATGTTGATTAGTTAGCTAATTTTTCTCATTTTTGTTAAGACTGTAGAGGGCTATTTATAAGCCTAGATTGTTAAATAAGAAAGTAGTCATTTTCCCAGAATAGTTGTGTACTCTGTTTTGTGTTTCGATTCTTAACATTTATTTGTTGCCATTACCACTTTTTAAGTTGGCAGTAATGATTTTAAGGAAAACAGTGTTATCTGAAATAGACATACAACCTACAAGGGTAATCAGTAATATTTTAATAATATAAGAGTGTCTTTTACAATTATACTAATCTATTATAAGTGTCAGTATAATTTTTTTAAGTTAAATTATACACGCTGGGCATAAATGTGCGCTTTATGTGGATGGACAATATTAATATTAGTTGCCATACCGTATGGTTTTGTCGTAACTGGGGAAGCTAGAATTGAAAACCGTTTTTATATTGAATGGTTTGATTTTTAATCACAATTTTTATTTATTTATTATCACCTTCATCGCTACTTCTGCCAGATGACCCAAAAGGGTAACCAAGGGGCGTAAAAACAAAAGTTGCATGCGTGACGGCGTCGACCGTTGGGTTAGTTCAAGGAAGAACCTCTTCTCGATGACCAAAACGAGTTTGGCTTCTTTGCAAGTCGGTAGCATGTGATGTGTGGGATCTGAGGAAAACGACAAATTAGTGGGGCCAGTTTTTATTTTTTTTGAAATTATAATTTTATTATTATTACCTCATCTTCGATCAAAATTATTTAAGTAATTTGTATGACTAATTGTACACGAGAGTACGAGGAACACCATAGTTCTACCACATTGGCATCAGAAATACTATATTAAATTATTTAAGCACCCATCACATCTATTCATGCCGCCTTTTTTTTTTTTTTATATTTTTTGGAAATTATTTTTGCCTAATACTTCAACTCTAATGAAACTGATATAAAAATTATTTGAATAATTAATTGGCTAGGATAGTGAAAATAACACCCATAATTTTATCTTATTAGCATGAGAAAACGAACTTGTTTAGGCACCTCTAATACATATTTGTATTGTTCAACAAATGTGGCCAATTTTGTTTGGCACGCACCTCTTCATCGGATAATAGGTTAAAACACCGTCGCATCCAATAGTTTAAACTATTAACAAGAGTATAACATAAATATTCATTCATTTCATAAGAGAAAGCGATTGACATATTAAAATGAAGCGTCTTTCATCAAGTGTATAGATAGGGGTATTCACCTTATCCTACGGATAGAAATTATGATATTTTATTTTTTTACTTGATATTTTACGGGAGAATTTTTTCTTGACATATCCTACCTAATTAAGTGTACTATTTCTACTCGAATTTCGTCAAAAACAATCAAGTAAGAAGCCGGGTTAGAAATCGGGTAAACACATATTTTTTAGTTATTAATTTTTGGATCATTTTAACAATTTAATTAAGTAATCTACATCAATTAACTAACACAATGAATCAATAACATTACAAAAAACAAAATAAATTTCTATAATACATAAACAATTACAATAAAAAACAAAAAAATTATAAACATCAATAGATTCAATACATCATATATAAGAAAACCATAAACATCAATAAAATATTAGAGTTTCTAGATTTTGATAGAAATACATAAATTTTGTAGGTAATTCGCATTCCTACCTGTTTTTTTGCAGAATACTAAAAAAATCTTCCATTGGCCTACCAAATTTTTTTGGATAGTCGATCAATAGAGTCGGATAGAATAAGATAAAATTGACATATACAGGTAATCGAAAATTTAAACACCCTGCTAGACACCCATGTACTGTCATGCAAGGGGAATTCCTCTAATTTTTTGTGCTTCCCATTTTTTTAAGAGTCAAGACGTAGTTATCTTCTAGAAAAATATTTGGACATTTTCTTATTTTATTGGAAGCTTCCCCTCAAGATTTTTCTAGCTACACTATCAAAAAAGAGGGAAAGACTAGGGTTTATAGTACTGTGCTAAAAATTATAATTTTTTTGACACGTAAGTTACAATTTTAAACGGCATAATCAATTATAAAAAGTTGAAATCGACACCGAAATTTATAATTGATCATGTGTGTCTGTGGTCGATTATGATCTGGCTTAAATAATTATAATTTTTTCTTTCAAAATTTTAACCTTGTCATAAAAAAATTATAGTAAACGGTACAATACTAAAAAAGTAAGTTCGGTTCCATAAACTTTCCCAACAAACAATAACCAACTTAGTATCAAAAAAAAAAACAATAACCAACTTGACATGGTAAAGGATGGAGGAGATGTGATGAGAAACGGAGCTGTGCCCGGGCCTACTTTGATGACTTACAAAGGAAAGAAACTTCCAACACAATTCTTAAAATTTAAAGATATTTGGAACTAGATTTATAAGAAATCGGTTACTTTTATAACAACGAGTCAAGAGTAAGAATACCTTTATCATTATCCCACTGATGGGTTGCACCTAATCGTCCTCATGATGGTAATTGAAGTAGTCAAGATAGTGGAAAACACAATAATAATATCAACCACGAGAA